CTGCTCTCTAGATCTCGAATATACCAAAATGTCATCAATGAATACAATCACCGACCGATCCAACATCGGCCTTCACACCCGGTTCATGAGATCCATGAACACCGTCGGGGCATTGGTGAGTCCGAAAGGCATCACCACAAACTCATAATGCCCATAACGCGTCCTAAACGCTGTCTTCTGGATGTCCTCATCTCGCACCCTCACCTGATGGTAGCCAGACCTCAAATCAATCTTGGAGAACCAAGATGCTCCCTGCAACTGGTCGAACAAATCGTCGATCCTTGGCAACGGGTAACGAGTCTTGACCGTCAGCTTGTTCAACTCCCGGTAATCAATGCACATCCGGTGTGAACCATCCTTCTTCTTGACAAACAGAATAGGCGCTCTCCACGGCGAGCTGCTCGGCCGAATAAACCCCTTCCCCAGCAACTCCTGAAGCTGCAAGGATAACTCTTGCATCTCTGGAGGTGCAAGATGATAAGGCACCTTAGCGATAGGTGCGGCCTCCGGGACCAAATCGATACCGAACTCTACTTGCCTCACGGGAGGCACACCCGACAACTCCTCTGGAAAGACATCCGGGAAATCACGCACTATAGGAACCTCCTCCACCGACCTCGGCCTCTCGGAATCAACCCGTGTATCCGACACGTACACCATAAAACCCTTACAGCCCTGCTGTAGACACTGCCTCACCCTAGCGGCCGAAAAAAACGCTGATCTAGAACGGGTACCCTCGCCGTACACTGTAAGAACTCCCCCACTAGGGTCTCGTATGGTCACCAGTTGTCGCTCGCAGTCGATAACCGCACCGAACCTACTCAACCAGTCCATGCCCACAATGACACAGACATCCCCCATGGCAATAGGAACCAAATCAATCAGGAACTCAACACCGAAAATCTTGAGTACACACCCACAGATCACCTCCGTGGCATATATCACCTTCTCGTCAGCTATGGAAACTCTTAGAGGCCGACTCAGTGCCTCGCGACTAACACTAATGTGCTGACTAAAAGCCAAAGATACAAAAGACCGACTCGCACCCGAGTCAAATAATACCAAGGCAGGTACAGAATTCACAAGAAAAGTACCTACGTATAACATAATATAAGCATAACATCTCAACATTACAATAAATACACGAAAGAATACATACCAGCCACGACATCGGGCGCTGCGCGAACCTCCTCCGCGGTCAACTGAAAGGCTCTCCCGCGTGCCCTCAGCACCTCGTAATTCACTGGCCGACTCTCGGTAGCTCTGATGGTGGCAGGGGCAGATCCCTGAGGTGCTCCCTGAGCTGATCCCCACAACTGCGGACACTCCGCCTTCCGGTGTCCGGTCTGGTTGCAGTGAAAACATACTGCGAACCCCTTGGGGCAGTCCTTGGCCATATTCCCCTCCTTGCCACATTTGTAGCAAGATCGCGCTCTACATACTCCATCATGACCCTTGTCGCACGTTCCACAAGTGCGACCCTTCTGGCTCCCTGATTTGGGATCAGCGGGCTTGGCCCGCTTGGCTGCCAGCTAGAATTGTGCCGTTCGCCGATCCCTCCTCTGAGACTCAGCCTCCTCTGTAGCTTGAGTCTCCGGCTTGATCTCCCTCTTCCGGGCATTTGCCTGAAGGTCAGAAAATGTCCGGTACGAGGAGTTCGCCACGAACTCCCGAATGTCTCGCCTCAAGATACTCAAATACCGGCTCATAAGTGCCTGCTCAGTGGACATGTGCTCAGGGCAGAACATCGCCCTCTCGTGGAACATCCTGGTAATCACCGTAACAGACTCAGTGCCCTGCTTGAGGGTCAGAAACTCCTGGGCCAAACGCTCCCTCTCCACTTGGGGAACATACTCATCTCAGAACATGGCAGTGAACCTCTCCCAGGTCACCACCGCAAGCTCAGCAGGCGTAAAGTGCGCCGTCACAAACTTCCACCAGTCCTTCGCTCTCAAGCGAAGCTGGTTCAGCACGAACCGTACTCTCAAATGCTCAGGAGATGAGCAAGTGAAGAAACATCCCTCCATGTCAGAAATCCATCTCATAGCCGCCATCGGGTCTTGGGTCCCATCAAACTCTGGTGGTTTCATGTTGCTGAACTCCCGGAACAGCAACGCATCACCACCCTGCGGCCTCGCAGCAGCAACAGCTGCGGTGGCCGCCGCAACAGCAGCCTCAGAAAGAGCAGCATAATGCTCGTTGAAAGTTCCAATCAATGTGGTCTTAATAGACCCGAACATCTCTAGTATCTCTGCCCTGATGGCCGCAGCCACCTCCTCGTAAATGATCTGATGGATCTCCTCATCACTAGCCCCAACGCCCTCTGGCATATGATGTGTCCTCACCATGATCAACCTCTGAAATACAACATACGATAAATTAGAATCCATTCGAGCATACTCACACTCGACAACTCATCCCTCCTTGATCCCTAGCATTCCAAAGATTCATATTCGGACCGTACACCCCCCCGATGCTTTCAGTAGTACGGGCCCAATACTATTGTCCACACTGTTGGAGTATACACCCCGAATCCTCCTCTTCGAATCCCAATTTCCAAGTACTCTATCACTTTCTAACAGATCTCACATAAGCTCCTCGCTGCTACCTATTCACTCTTAAGCACCTCATAGCAGCTCACATCTCCCTAGGCTAAGGCATCACAAATCAGGGCACTCTAGTCCTAATAGGAATACCTAGCCTACTCTAGCAAGAGAATACATCATAACAATCTCATAAACATATAATATAAGGGTATTTTGGAAAATCACCGTTCGGGCGCTGACTGATCGTACACACGTTTCTTCTCAGAATTTCTCTAGAAATCTTTTACCTTTTTAGAAAATTTGGTTTTCTTTTGAAAATATTTTCCAAATCCTCAGTTTGAATTCAAATACTCCCGAAGGCGTACCCGAATCCCTCAAACCAAGGCTCTGATACCAACTTGTAACACCGTAAATTTCAAAACAAAATTTTCAAATTTTATAAAAACATAATTCACTTAATATTCATAAAACAACCATGTTTGAAATTTAATCCAAGTTATACAAATATCCCAAGATCTCATAATCATAAAATCCCGTGCGTGTGTACTGATCAAGCCGGCGCCTTCCCACGGTCGTCACTAGTACCTGAAACAAATAACACCAAACACTGTAAGCACAAAGCTTAGTGAGTTCCCCAAAATACCACATATAACACATATTAGTCACTCGAGGCTATAACTCTGTGGGTCCGTGCACCCAAACTCTATGAACCCTCAGGTTCTAACTCTGTAAACATGCACAACATAAATCACATACAATAATGCAGCGCAACACATAACACATATATAGCATACGAACACTATATCACATAACTCTAGTTACCTACTCAAGGTAAAGTATAGTGAGAAGACTCACCTCGCGTATCTCGGTAACTCGTAAGTCCCTGAAATCACTCGTGCTCGATCTCCCGATCTATAGTCCTCCTATAACACAATACATCTTTAAATAACACTTCACAACTAAGGTTGACTATCCCTTAACAAGTCAACATAGGTCAACACTGGTCAATGGTCAACGGTCAACTTTGATCGGACTCGGCGAGTGTACTATAGCGACTCGGCGAGTCTATGCGCATACACTTGTTTCCCTGGGATTCTCACTTGACACGATGAGCATTCTCCTAGCTCGATGAGTTCCACCTGGCATGAGTTGTGGGGCCTCCACGACTCAACTCGCCGAGTCACAAGAACAACTCGGCGAGTCCCAGCTTGACTCAGTCCACCTGTCAACCCACTCTGACTCTCCCTGACTCACTGAGTCAATCCCTCAACTCGGCAAGACCACTCGCTAAGTGGTGTTGGGCAATCTTCATGCTACTCGCCGAGTCTGTTCTTCGGACTCGGCGAGTCCATGTCATGCAATAACTCAAACTCACTCCTGAGGTCAGATCCATTCCATACATTCATAGATCTGGCCTCCCCAAGCATGATAATCACGTAAAGTCCAAACCTTGGGGCTCAAACAACAACTATTTGCTCATAAATGATGTTTTAGCCCCATATCTCATAACTCTAGGCCAATACTCTCATGAACACTCATAAAGCTTAGGGAATACAGCTCTTTTGGACCTCTATGGATCTCATCTCAAGCCTTATCATGATTAGGGACAAAATGGACATCAAATCTAGCCAACAAAGGGGTCAAGAAACCCTAAACCCCCATGTTCATCATAAAAACGAAAAAGGAAGCCAAGATATACCTCCAAGATGATGCTCTGAGCTCCAAAATCGCAGAATGTCCACATCCCTTGCCTTCTCTTAGCTAGAATCTCCTTTGCCTTGCCAAACCAAGCTCCAAAGGTCAATAATGGCCTCTTTTCTCTCCCAAAACGCTCAAATCTCTTTAGGGTTTCTCTCTAGGGGTTGGTGGCCGCAAATGATGGCCATAAGCCCCTTTAAATAGGTCTCAAATCCTGGGAATTAGGGTTTCATTACACAGCGTGGACTCGCCGAGTCCAGATGTGAACCCCGCGTCCAAAATCGCGATCCTACTCGGTGAGTTTGAGCTCCAACTCGCCGAGTCCACTCACAATTTTCCAAAAATACACCAATAATAAATACCTGGAAATTCCGGGCTGTTACAAAAAAGGAGATTGATAGGACACTGTTGTGGAAAAAAGCAAGAGAGTTGAAGACAGGAGGATACGAATTAGATGTGAAGATGATTGTTGATAAAATTGTAAGTTTCATTGATTGCCAAATATATATAAAAAATAACATATGTCCCATTTTTTTTAACATTTGTCCCAATTTTTTACAAGATAAGCTGCAGAAATCGGGAAGCTTTGGAGAGGTTACATGTGGAACACATCATGTGCTTACAGAAGCTTTGGAGAGGTTACATGTGGAATACATCATGTGCTTAAAGAGGCCTTGGGTACTCAGGAACGATGTGGGCATGTACGAGGGATGGGTGAATTTATAACGCCACATCAATATTTTTATTTACCCAAGAATGTTAAGTATTACTTGGAGATTGAGAACGAGGGGGGTGGATAAACGAATCAACAAACTTGAAGATAACTTGGAGAAGCTAAAAAGAGGTGTACTTAATGTTTCTAAAGTCGCAAGTTGCCAAGTAGGGGGCGTCATTGAAGATGCTGAAAAAGAACCACGAGATGAATCACTTGTAAGTCCTTGAAGACAATTATGAAAAATATCTTTAAAGTATTTTCTTTTTCTACAAACTAACATACTATATTTTGGTAGGATAATTCATGTCTTCTTGCGGTTGAATTTGCAGCAAATATAGTTGCTAAAGGAACCATAATGAAGTATAGTGCGTCGGGTATTTTGAAAAATATTTGCATTATTACTATCTATATATTTTCATTTTTTTTAAAAGATTGGATCTTAATTATTTTTTACGTTTATGTAACAGATGAAAACATTGAAGTTATGATGGAAACAATTTTACAAGGAGAAGCTTAAATACCCATTCTACTTGAAGAGGAGTTCATTGTGAAGGTCAAAGATGCACTGGGACGCATAAGATGCTTAGTTATTCGATGCTCTGACTTGGTAATTTTCATAGATTTAAAACATACAAAAATTTTACAGATTTGCCCTTCGTTTTCTTATTTTTTCTGATATTTGAGTGAGTTCTTTTTCAACTTTAGTAAATGATTCCTGTTTCATTCTGTATTTTTGATCATTTTTGTAGGGAAAAGTGGTGGGAAAACCTGTGATGTGGACGAAGGGGATGATATGGAAGAAGGGAATGGAATAGAAAAGAAGATTAAAAAGAAGGAGAAACAAATTATGACCTTGAAAAGAAGGTGGACCATAACACAGAGGATTTAGAAGAGTAGTATTTTGAAAATGACTGCAAAGATGGCTGATGGACAAGTTACAAAGGTTGATTCTATAAAAGTGCAGAGTGAGAACGATCTTTTTGGGTATGATAGTTACACGTACTTAACTTGGGATGATTTTGAAGTGGTTCTTACAATGGATTAGCTGACTAGTGTTGTCCTTGTGTCTTATATGATGTAAGTGAAAGAAATTTAATTTAAATAACATTGTGTCTTAAAACAAAATTTGTTTAATGAATTTAGTGTTTGTATGATAGCAGAGTGTTGTTTAACAAAATGAAGTATGGCCCCCCAGAAAGAGATCATGGAATTTTCTTTGGGAACCCGAAATTAATCTCGCCAAGAACGCATAAAGGAAAATCTAAGAATACTGACGATGCAAGCAGATGTTTAGCAGATTGGTTGTCTAGTAGAAAGGGAAATGAAATCATCTTTATACCCTACAATCAAAGGTTTGATTTTGACATTTTATTTTGAAAATGACTGTAATTATGTTATTTGACTTAATTTTGTTTGTGGTTTTGGTAGAACACATTGGGGGTATTATGTAACGTTCGTAGCTCCGAGCTAGTCAATTTAGAGACGATAAGCATCGAAAATGACTTTTTGATAGAAGATTATTTAGAAAGAATAATATTAAGAAAGTTGTAGTGGTCGTGACTAGGATTCTGGATATAAGAAGAACGTCGAAATATGAGTTATAATGAAGAAGTTATGACTTGTCGAATTTTCGCGACAGAACTGGCACAACGTTGTGTGACGTAAAAAGTGAATTTACGATAAATTGCTTTTTAGCCTTAGTGATGTAAATAAAAGTCGTAGTATTCATTAAACCAAGAGCATGCATAAAAAGAATGTCCAAATCTCACTTCGTATGAGGAAGTTATGAATTTTCTAAGATTTGGCATTACACTATGCAGCCCGAAACTCAGATTTTAGATCGAGTGATGTTTAGCCGAAACAATCTAAATGAGAATCAAAGATTTTGTTGATTGTAGTTTAACGATAAAAAAACAGACGAAAATGGACCTCATAAGAATAAGTTATGAATTTTTAACGGGCTTTTTCTGTCCTGGCTTGTTAAAAATATAACTTTAAAAATAAAGTCAAAATTAGCCGACAAAGTCTAAATGAAAGTTGTAGAGTACGGTCTTACCTACACGTGGATATAAAGAATGTCAAAAATGGTGCTCGTATGCAAAAGTTACAAAATTTTGAAGTTTGAAAATTCGGAGTACGCCCAGTGTACTCGTGTAAGTGTTCCGAAGTCCATCACCCTCCCTACTCCTTTGCATGAGAGCCACGTGTCGTAGCCTTGACGCGTCTGAGATGATCCACTTTATACGCCTAGCGTATAAAGTTACGCTCAGCGAAAAGATTATCAAGGCAGTATGCCCCGTGTACTTGAGTTGTACGCCACGCGTACTAAGGTGCTTCGGTCTCCTATAAATAGGAATCGAAGTCAGCCGAATTGATGTTACATTTTTCAATCCTTTCACCCTTTACTTTACCTTTTGTTGCAAAAATTACCCCTAACCCTAATATATCATCCTAGCATCGTAAGCAAGCCCCGGAGAGCCCGAAGATCTTGAGATAAATAGTTTTCGAGCCGAAACTCTGCCCATGTGAAGCTCGGTTTTTAGGAAAACATCTCGATTTTATTGGAAACGATCGTTTTAAGAAACGAAGTGCTGGCCGATTATCGGTAAATCAAGTGAGCGTGTAGTCACTTTCATCTTTGTTACACCCCGAACCAGACGACGGAAACGTCCGAGGGCTCTTATGACTAAAATTGAATACCATCACAATGAATATACATGAATCATAACATAATACATCACCATGCATTGAAATATTACAATTGATATTGCTTACATTCCGTACATTGTTTTAGACATTACAAATTCATAACATAACTATCTGACAGATAACCTAAGCAAAATATTGTGACATTACTTGTTACTTATTCTTTGGCTTACCTGTTACTTGAAAATACAAGTTATTTTGAAAAACGTAAACATATGGAATGTTGTTGAGTTCATAAGTAATGTTGTGGTAAAATGATTTGGTGTAGTTTGTAAACCCAGAAAATCCAATATTTTCTGAAAAGAGTATTTGTTTATAAAAAGTGTGATGATCCGTAAATATGTGCTTGTTGATTTTCCAAAACATGTATAATTGTTGAACTTTATATACATCACGCAAGTGAAAATGTTGAACTTCCCAGGAAACCCGATGTTTTCTCAATACGTAAAATACATGACTTGTTTATTGTTATACCGATACGTCGAATGTTTTTGATTACCTGGGTGGCGTTAGATTAATTAGGGTTGTGAGTCATTATAATCACGCATTAAGTAAACGGCTAGTTTATAACTGCATATGACGAACGATCCTTAAAGGCGTCGGCCGTTACTACTCACTTAATCCACCCACCCTGATTACTATTGTTTATCGTCCTCAATCTGTTTACTTTGATTTCTCATAAGCCCAACCACCGGGGAGAAAGGAGAGTACGAAGCCCCCTTTATTTCCATGAGTTATTTAAGGCTATCGGGAATGCAAAAGACACTTGGACCAACTCGCATTTTACTTCTCGACCTCACTAGCAGTACTAATGGGCCCCTAGGGCCCAATAACATGTTAGAGCTATTGAAAGTCCTTTTACATGGAATTGGGTCATAGGAGGCCCAATAACAAGTAAGCGTATTCCCTTCGGGCCCAAATATCATGTTATTGGGCTAGCAAGGCCCAACAAGCATAATTTGAAACTTCCAAGCCCAAAATTTGTAAATTAACTCATCATAATTATCGCGTGTTTATTGAAATGCTTTGGCTTTATGATTTTGTTTTGTTGTTGATTCGAGACCGAATCAATTCGTTTTGTAACGATATTTGTTGTTGAGAATGTATTTGTTTTTCCGTTTCGTCGGTAGTCGTGGATCTTGTATTTTGTATTAATGACTTAATTTGTTAGAAAATGGAGTTTGATCCTTTTCATTACCCTCCTTTTATAAAAATAACACTTTTGGTCCTTTTTAAATAAAAGAGTTTCATTTTTAGTCCTTAAAATACTTTTCTTGACACTTTTATATAATTTACTTGATGAAAACATGATTTTTAACCCAAATTCTACTTAGTTGACAGCTTCAGTCCCTCTAGAATAGTGATTCTCGGTTAAGGACTCATTTTTCACAACTTTTACAGTTTTAGCCCAAAATCTAAAAAGTTTGCATTTTTGGTCCTTTTTGATAATGAAAAGCATTTTGACCCTTATAAACATTTTATTATGCTAAATACCCCCTGTTTTACAAAAAGTTACATTTCCAACCCCTCAAGTTGTAAAATTTCGCATTTTGAGGCTTATTAGGCCGAGAAGCCCAAAATTAGCCCATTAGGTTAAAAATATACATTTTAAGTCCCTAGAAATTTTTAATATTCCGAAAAATATTTATAGAAACTGTTTTGGCTCCTTTTAACCTTCAAGAAACCGTGACTTGTTGATTTTTACCCCAAGTTAGTATTTTTTTTTTGACAATTTAAGCCCAAAAATGGGTTTTATGTTCAAGTATGTTCATCCAAACCTTATAAACTATTTTTCTTGACTTGTTAGGTGTAAAATAGCTTAAGTTATGTTTATTTCCTTTCTCATGTCTTAGATCTCGGATTTACACCCTTTTTGATAACATATTCATCACAAAACACATGATATCACACACATACATGCATCAAATCACACATAGCATACATTTACACATAGATCTACACATTTTCTTGTATTCTCCCCCATAAAACTCATAAAAACCGAAAAGAAAAGGGGTATGAAATTCATCTTGAGTTGTGGATCGATTTTGAAGAAGATTTGGAGAAGTTTGGTGCTATTTTTGGCCCTATCAAGTTCCTTGGATGGATCTCGAACTTAGTGGGTTCTAAGATGCAAGATCATGAACTTGAATAGATTAAGAGATGATTTTTGATGAAATGAAGTGAGTTAGATCATAGATTTAAGCACCAACTTACCTTGAATGATGATTTTTGTGGAAGAAATTCCTTGAACACCTCTTAGATCTCGAAAATTTAGAGAGAATGGAGAGAGAGTTTCTTTGCGAGAACTTTGAATAAAATGTATGTGTGTGTGTGTTTGGATTCGGCCGAGAGCAAAGGAGAGAGGAAGAAGAGAGAGTGTGATGAGATGGTGCATGGAGATTTAGGTTATTTGCATGGATAACCTCCATGTAAAAGTGAGGTGGCAAGCCTAATTCAACTCTTCTTCATCGGTTGGGCTTGGGCCGATAATGGAGAGAGAGGAAAGAATATTTGGGCCTTAAATGCTTAAGCCCAATTTCATGGTTATGTTGACTGATTTTTGGCCCAAATAAATATAAATGTTGTTTTCAAAAGAATAGGTTTTGCCATCCGAAAAGGGCTAGCGGCGCAGCTTGTTGCCCGTTTGCCTTCAATCGATATGTATTGAATTCAATTTCGGAATTAATTAATGCTGGTCCAATTGTTACACTAAATATAAATATGATTTATATGACCTATTAGGGCTAAGTTAGGTTAGTTATGGCCTAATAAGGTTCATTTAAATATTTTGTTTCATTCTAGGCCCAATATGGCCCAAAATATTAAAATAAATGAATGTGGGTCCAATTAGAGCTCATTTAAGAGTTTTAAGCCCAAGATAGTCAAATTGGAAGCTTATTGGTCCTTTGGGCCCAATAAGGAAATCCTAGTCCAAAATGGACTTAAACAAGGATTTCTAGGGTTTCCAATTATTTGTTGACTATTTGTAGTGCTTGTATGAAGGGTTTGATTGAAATTTCGTTGTTATTGAATAAGCACCTTACATGTTTTCACATTGTTGGTTCACATTTGTTATCATTGTTCAATGTTTACAAGGCATCAAAATTTCTAGTTGTGACAATCTTACACATAGATATGAAGTATTTTCTATAAAATATGTGCTATGTGTAATTATATTGTTTG